CGCCGCGCAGCGTCTGCATGAGCGCGCCGCGGTCCAGGCGCCCCGCCCGGTTCAGCGCGGAGACGTACTCGCCCAGGGCCGCCTCGGGGTGCTGCAGCTGGCCGGACTCGAACATGCGTATCACCGCCTCGTGCTGGCCGTTTGCGTTCAGGTCACGCAGCGTGCGGGCCTGGGCGGGGGGGGAGAGGGGGGGGAGAGGGGGGGCTGACCGTCGGGATCGTCGCGAGGAACAGGTCACCACCCCTCAGTGCACACCACCTTTTCCCAGGTCCACACCAGGCCGGTGCCGCGGCAATGCACCCTCGTGGCCACCCACTACCTGCATCGCCACGTCGGAGGTGCCCTCGTAGACATTGTAGCCCCGGGCGGGGGTCTTGGAAAAGGCGCAGGGTCGTCCACCGGATTGCCTCCCCCCCCGCGTCAGGGATTGTGTGAGTTGCAGGAGGAGCTGCACGGCAGGACAACAGGCTATCGTGATGGGTGGACTCTTGCATGCCCACCGGCCTGCGGGAGGGGTGTCGCAGGGCGGGTGCACTCACCTTGGCTGCAGTTCTTCGAGACCCAGCCATCCCGCTCGGCGTCCCACCGTCCGACCAGACGTTATGAGTTTACTCTTCAATTCAACAAACTGTACTGTTTTTGACTGGGGTGAGATCCAAAGCCCTCGCCATTGGATCATCTGGCGAGTGGTGGTGAGGGGGGGTGTCGTCAAGCGGTCACATGGGGGGCACTCTGGACTGGAGAGGAGGAGGGAGGAGTGGAAGGGGGGAGCAGCGTCCAGGGAACCCACGAAGGCACAGTTTTGCTACATCCTGGTGGTCATCTCTGCACTTGTTACTGGTTCTTCTGATGAGCACCATGGAATGTCGCAGCTTGGCTTCCTGTCCAGCTCAAACCTGTCCAGAGCGAGTGGGGCGTCTGCGGCACAACGGTCTCACCCAGTGAGCACTAGCCTCCCGTCCGACAGCCAGTAGGCGCCAGCTTAGCCCTAGCCCTGATTCGCAATGAGATCAAGGCGTGCATGAGGTTGACTTGCTCAGTGCAGGGAACAGGTGGTGCTTGTTATACATGTTGGGAGGCAATGGTATGGAACAGCTGATGCACGTTCTCTGCTGGAACTACTGGTCCTCGGCCAAAGCCCTCTCAACAAGTGGGAAGCAATGGAGATTGAACTTGCAGAAGCCACCTCTTTCACGTACTCTAGAGAGCACTCCTCCCTCTCCTGTGCCCAACGAAGATTCCCCCCCGGGTTATAGCGCACACAAAAATGCATTTTTATCCGGAGGAAAGTGAGGCAGTCACCCTGCCCACCCACGCGCGAGTCAGCCGGAAGTCCTGGGTTCGAGCCCCAGTAGGGACAGTGCCCCGTCCCTATAGATCAGTCGGTTAGATCACCGGTCTTATGTGCTGCGCTTTTTTGGTGGCTCTTTGGTCGGGCTGTAACATTGCGTAAAATCGGCCTCGCTGGGCCGCGGCACACGCTGGGGTGGCCGAAAGGGAAGGAAACAAAACTCCATACGCAGTGCCGACACGACGTCATACCGTGCAGCGGGTACCGAGCAGCAGCATATATATCACTTCACTTGCGTGCAGGGGCGCACCGCCCGCGTGTCAGCAGTAGTCGATGGGCGGGATGGGTCCGCCCGTGGTCTCGCCGCCGCCGCCCTCGGGGCGGTCGACGTACTTGGCCTCCAGGAAGCGCGCCAGCGCGTCCACGTCCTCCCACCGGCTCAGCGCGCCCAGGCTGGCGCGGATGGACCCCAGCGGCAGCACCACCTGCTCCGGCGCGCCCCCCGGCTCCACGCCGCGCGTCACCGTGATCCACTCCCAGTCGGTCCAGTTGTCGTGCTTGGTGGCGGCAAAGTCGGCCACCTCCCCGTCGCGCACGCCCAGCGCGGCGTAGCAGGCGCCCGGGTTGCAGGTGCAGCCCAGGCGCATGTAGACCCCGGCGGCCGCGGCCTCCACGCCGGCGGTGCGGTAGGAGTAGACGCCGCCGCGCGGCGTCAGGATCTCGAAGTTCAGCGTCGCGGCCTGGACCTCGGCGCGACGCGGGTCTTCGTGCTTCCCGAAGACGCGGAGCAGGGGCGCGCCGTTGGAGTGGCGCAGGCCCCGCACGCGGTCGTACAGGTGGGCCGCCAGCGTGCCGACGTGGCGCTTGATGGCGTGGATGCCGCCCAGGCGCTCAAAGGCATCCAGCCCGTACTGCAGAGCCACGATGTCCAGGAAAGGCAGCGTGCCGTCCTCCAGCGAGGCCGGGGGCAGGCGGCGGTGGTGCCAGTCCAGGGCCGAGGTGGCCAGGAACACTGAGCCGCCGCCCCAGTAGGCCTTGCGCAGGGGGGCGGCGCCCTCCCGCCGCACGATCAGCGCGCCCACACCGGTGGGCAGGCCGAAGAGCTTGTAGAAGGAGAGGATGACGTAGTCGGCGGGGGTCTCCGTCAGGTTGAGCGGGGCGGTGGGCGCGAAGGCCGCCGCGTCCAGCAGCACCTACAGGTGTGTTTGAGAGGGGGGGTTGGGTGGGTGGGGCGGGGAGATGGACGCGCTGCCATGCCTCTATCACTGCCATGGCACCGGCTGTGGGGTTGTGGCTGAGGGGTCGGGACCCACTCGGACATACCACTGCTCACCCCCCATGAAACGAGAGGCTCATGTGAAATACCGGTTCTGCCAGCGCGTCCCGTCCACGGCCCTGCCCGTCCAAGTCTGATCAACCCCCTCCCCAGATCCACCACCTTCGACCCAATCAGCTCCCTCCAGAAAAGCCTCACCTTCCATTTGTGCCCCGGCGTGCTCTTGGCCTGCACCGCCTGCACCCACTTCAGCGGGTACATGACGCCGTCGTAGTTGTCCCGCGCGGGGTAGGCAAAGAGGCTGTAGGTGGGCCGGTGGGCGCTCTCGGCCGCGGCGGCGCGCGCGCGGCGGGGACCCGCGTGCTCCGACCCCCCGGGCAGGAAGGGCGGGTGGCGCATCTCGGGGTCGGCCAGCCAGGCCTCCGCGCCCTCCTCGGACAGCGCGCCGTACTGCGCGCCGTACTGCCCCGCCACCGACCGGATGCCCAGCACGCTGTTGTGGTTGGCGCGGGTGAAGGCGTAGGTGGACTCCGGGGTCCAGGGAAAGGCGTCCCCCAGCAGGTTCAGCGCCCCCGTGCCGGACCGCGTCAGCACCAGGTCATGCGTGGTCTCGTCGGCGCCAAACAGCGCCAGCAGGCGGCGCCGCGCCGAATCCACACGCGCGTCGGTCAGCAGGGAGGGGGGGTTGACGCTGTGCGGGTTGCCAAAGGCGTGCGTCTCCAGGTCCCGAGACAGGGCCTCCACCTGGGAATTCCAGTACAGTGCAGCACCTGAACAAGAGAGGGTGGTTTGGGGGGGATGGATGGGAGGCCCACATTCCGATCAAGTGGATCACTGGGCAAAAGTATGTAGAACGAGGGTAGGAGGCCACAGGCATGTGGGCTGTCGGGTTTGTGAACGGGTGGGTGGGTGCAGAGTGGTGGGTGCAGAGTGGTGAGTGGGTGGGTGCAGAGTGGTGGGTGGGTGGGTGGGTGCAGAGGGGTGGGTGGGTGGGTGCAGAGGGGTGGGTGGGTGGGTGCAGAGGGGTGGGTGCAGAGGGGTGGGTGCAGAGGGGTGGGTGGAGGCACATGTGCAGCAGAAAATCTAGCAGTGTTCTCCTGCAAGATGATCGATGCACAAGCTACCATCCTACGACAAGAGTGCTGTTTAGTGATGGCAATAAGGCACAGATGCACGGGCTGCTGAGACGAGAGCAGGGCTGTCCTGGTGGCAGGTGAGAGGGATCAACATGCAAGCCATGCAAGCCGCCTCCAAGGAAGCCGCACAGCCCGAGCCCGCACCGCAACCGTGACCGCATGGACCCGCGCTGCCCACCTGTGTTATCCAGGTAATGACTTCCATTCAGCCTGTTGCCGATCTCTCGCTCGAAAAGCTCGTCAATGCGACCATCATATCCATAATCATGGCCGTACCTGCAAATGGGAGGGCCAGGGGGGCGACTTGAATACAACAATGCCGCGAGCGGCGCTGGCAGAACCCAACTGCCGTCATCCGCACTTTTTTAAGAACGCTTCCTTGCTGAACTCCGCGTCCGTGGACAGGCTCTTCGGCTTGCCAATGGTGAGGGAGAACGCGGTGCCGAGGACCAGGAACAGCAGGAGAGGCAGACCCGACCGCGCCACAGCCATGTCGAAGGCCTCTCCGAACTCGAAGAAAGTATCAGCTTCCCTACACCTTGAGTACGGGAGACAACATCGGCTGTATGTGCCGAAGACTGACTTTCGTCGACGTACCGCGGGATGCTCCGGATCTACCACGTGGACGTACACGCGATCTCTGCCTTTCCGATCACGAGGGTGATTGATGGGACAGCTAGGGATGCTGGTGTGTCAAGCACATGCTAAAGAGATACAAAGTGCTCCATGAAGATTTGCCGTCAGACGCATCCATGGGCGAGCTCGGCGTAAAGCTGTACGTCTTTGCTGATGTAGACTGCAGACCACCTACCTGCTCACATATAATCTGGTTGTCCTGAGGAAAGAAGCGACCTCAGGCAACACTCTGCGGCTGTCTGCTTTTGAGAGCCTCGATGAATTCGCAAAATATCGTTGGGTCACCTTGGTTTTCGGTCCAATCGCCTGCCAGAGTAGGCAAGCCCCATGCTCATGCATTATGCTCAAGGCCATCAGCAGCATACATCACATCTGCCTTTCCTCAAGCTAATAGCCACTTCCCATGAGGGGCCGATCATCTGCTTGAGCTGCCAGCTGCACAAAACTCACGCCTGCTATCGCCGTGGTGATGAATGTCCTAAAGTCCGCGATCAAATGCTCATCGATCGCACTCACCACAGAAGCTGGCATTCGATGTACGCAAACCAGTATCTCATATTCTTTTCCAAACCTGCATCAAGGCAAATCAATATTCTTCAGGGATCCTCCGACGTCAGACAACGGGAAAGGTCACCCCGGGATCCCGCCCTGACGAGTGCCGATCCCGGCATGCCCTTCAATCCTCCTCGCTGAGTGATGATGATGTGGCTTGTACTATTCTCGACTGTGCTTGCTTGGCAGGCGCCGCGCCGCGTGCACTCGACGCAGGATGAGCTGCTGTGGACCAAGCAGGCCTGGGCAGAGTACACCCTGGAGGTCCCATGGCCAGCTTTCACCGAGCAGGCGGAACGCATCAAGGCCAAGGGACTCACCAGTCTTGAGGGGCCGTATCACACCCTCCCTGACATGATAGAGGATGCCAAGAAACGGTGAGGGGCGTTGTGCACTTTGGTTGCTGTAGGCTGCGAGTGTGGGCCCATTCACGTAGGCACTGCCCTAGGCGTACTGATCTCGGCTTGGAGCAGGCGATGTGTCTGATACGTCCTTATGACTCTCAAGCCCATACCCAACTCCAAGGCGGCCCCTCCTGCCCATCACCCCAGGGCTGTACCCCTGCACCCAGAGACGCTGTTCCTTGCTCAGGTCCACAAGGTGGAGGACAGGGGGACAGCCCTGTCTGCGCTTTCCTGCCAGACCTGCCAGCAGCTCATGCTCCACGTCTGGGACGCCTTGGTTCCCTGGGTCAACGCGCACGGCTCCCTGCCGCCCGGGCAGGCCGTCACCCAGTATGCCTGGGACTTGTGTGCGCATGAGGTGAGGCTGTGGCCACGGGGGCGCGGGTGTTGGAGTCGTGGAGAGGTGATGCTTGTCGTGAGGTTCATGCCCAAGGTTGATCCAGACTCTGTCACATCAAAACCATGTACACCAGAGCGACGGCCCGCCTACACCAGGCGCTCACAGATGAATGCCCGCCTGACCACCCCCCTCCCCCCCCCCTCGCGCCAGGTCCCGGTCAGCGTGCTGAAGTCCTGGTCCCTGTTCCAGACCCGCGTCAAGCGTACGCTTGCCTGGAAGCAGCAGCAGCGCGAGGGGGGAGGGGGCCGAGGGGTCTGAGAACTACACGCTGACCAGGCGGCACGACCAGCACGCCACCCCACTGGAGATGGAGCTGGAGGGCGAAGCCTGCCGAGCCCTGCTGGAGGTGGGGGTGGGGGTGGGGGTGGGGGGGGGAGGAGAGTTGTGCCCGGCAGACATGGAGCTTTGCGGCCGCGTGCCCTTGCAGCTCCCCGAGAATGCTGCCTTCTGCACCCCCCCTTCGCCACAGCCTCCCTGGGAGGCCGAGGCCGGCGGCCTGCTGCCCCGACCTGAGGCGCCAGCTGGAGGAGTACCTGGGTCACGTAGAGGGCGCGGTGTCGGCCGAGGGCGCCCTCGACACCAATGCTGCACTCGACGCCGACGATTCCCTGGCCCTGGACCAGTCCTGCGTGGACCGGCACCCGCAGTGCGAGCTCTGGGCGGCAAAGGTGTGAGGGATGCGGATCGGGA